CCTACCCTCCCGTCGCGCGCTGCTCCTCAGACGGCGCGTGGCCCGCCCCTCCCCCCCCCCCCACGCGAGGCCCTCCCCGGGCGGCACGTGGCCCTCCTCTGCGCTCACAGGCAACTGTGCCGAGGAGGTGCCCCCTGGACCGGCCAGGCGCTGCCCTCCCCAGACGGCCCAGCCTTTGGCCACAGCTCTGTTCTCGGCCGTGGCGAGTCACGCGCCAAGCGTCACGGTGGCGGTGCCACCCGCCCTGCGGCAGCGCCGCCGGTGCTGGGCCGCCGGGCGCCGTCGACCCGCCTGCTGGGGCTCCCCTCGGGTGGGGCGCTCCTCCCTCTCGGCCCTCCTTCCACTTCCCCCGCGCCTGTCCCCCCCCCTGGCGCCGCGCGCCGCCATGGCGCCGCTCGCTGCAGCCCCTGGCGTGCAGCACCCCTCGGTTGAGGCACCAGCGGGCCCCGCGCTATATGCGTCGAAGCCCCCGCCCTGCACCCAGCGGGCACAGCACTTCGATGTCGGCAGTCTGAAACCTAGATTGCACTTCTTGCCACTTGCAAAATCCAACCGCCCCATTCCTGGACGCCTACACTATCCTAGCACCTGACCTTCCGCGTACTGGGCGTCGGCAGCGCCCGTGGACGCGCAGACACCGCGGCTCGGCCGCTGCCACGGTCACCACTGCCGTTGCTGGCCGCGCCAGCGCGCTCGGGGTGGAACTCTTTCACAGCTGAGTACCCTCCGCTCCGCCCGTCTCCTCTGCGGCCGCTCTGTCTGTCTTGGTCCCTCCTCTTGCATGCTGGCCAATGCGCTCTCTGGTTGCCCCGAATCGCTTCCCGCTGGTGCCGTATACCTCTGCCTCGCCGCCGACGTAAAAATGTGTCCCTCCGTCCCATTTTCCGTCAACACGCATGGGCAGGGTTTATGAACGGGCTGGTGGGGATACGCGAGGCGTTAAGAATCATGAAGTTTCGGTGTCCTGCAGCCCTACGACGATTGATCGCGCATCGCCCCCAGACGCTACTCTGGAGATCTGCTGAATGCTCAACGCACTGGGGCTCCCCAGAGATCTGATCCAAAGATCTGATGTCCTGAGAGTCCCGACTCCTCATGGCAGCAGCTCTCGGCAGAACGACGAGCGACCCTGTGACTCCGCTCGACATGGGACGCAGAAGGACATACTAGTGACATGCCCCACCTTGGAAGCCCACGTCCGAACCGAATACACACTGCACACATATCATTTTGCACAGCGCTACCGACGGGGCCCGACCATAAGAAACCTTCCTCACGAAACCCGAGCCTGAGGCCCCAGGTCGTCCATCGATGTTTGGTGTGGGGTCATCGCGCTCTCCACGGCAAAACCATCGAAACACAGGAATAGGGAAACGAAAAGTGACATAAACATAATTATCCCGGCAAAGCAACCTAACAGCGATGTGTAGGAGCATATCTGGAAGCATTCCCCTTAAGATTCAGATGAGAATCCAGTTGTAGAATTGTGCTGTTCTCGCAGTCGTAGTCGCATTCGCGATGACAGTCGCAGTGGCAACGGCAGTCACAGACACAGCCTCAGCCTCAGCCTGCCTCAGCCTCAGCCTCAGCCTGCCTCAGCCTCAGCCTGCCTCAGCCTCAGCCTCAGCCTGCTTCAGCCTCAGCCTCAGTCTGCCTTCAGCCTCGGCCTCAGCCTCAGCCTGCCTCAGCCTCAGCCTGCATCAGCCTCAGCCTCAGCCTCAGCCTGCCTCAGCATCAGCCTGCCTCAGCCTCAGCCTCAGCCTGCCTCAGCATTCAAAAAATGTGGCCCGGGAATGGAGTTCTGGGAACTCGAAGAACACGAAGTGGCCTACAGTTGGCTCCGGGCATTCAAAATCATGCCCAGGAATGGAGTTCTGGGAACTCGAAGACCACGAAGTGGCCTACAGTTGGCTCCGGGCATCAAAATCTGGCCCGGGAATGGAGTTCTGGGAACTCGGGAAGTGGAGTTGGCTCCGGGCATGTGGAGTTCTGGGAACTCGAAGAGCACGAAGTGGCCTACAGTTGGCTCCGGGCATTCAAAATGTGGCCCGGGAATGGAGTTCTGGGAAGTCGAAGAGCACGAAGTGGCCTACAGTTGGCTCCGGGCATTCAGAATGTGGCCCGGGAATGGAGTTCTGGGAGGTCGAAGAGCACGAAGTGTGTGACTGTTGGCTTAAAACGACTTCTGCGGCACCCTGTCCGGCACCCGCCCAGACCCCCCTGTGGAGTCATCTGCTGCTCTCTTTTGACCCCATTAGAAACCTATCAGAACAAGCTGTTAGGTAAAAACCTCTTCGATCCGCGCTGGACCCCCCTCCCTGGCGCGCCTCGCGCGCCAGGGGCGGCGCCGGAGGCGCCGCCAGGGGGCCCCAGCGCCGATCCGAGAAATCCGCGCGGACATCCGAGTTTTTCCCTACCTAGGCTCTGCCTAGAAGGGTTCTTACTCTCTTGGCTTAAAAGGGGCCGGGCAGTGTAACCCGCCCCGGGCGGTTCCCCCGTTCCCCTGGGAGCCAAGCAAAAGCAACAGCAAAGGTAAAAGCAAACGCGAGGTTCCCCCAGTTGCGCTCCCTGGGTGCCAAGCAATAGCAAAAGCAAAGGCAAAAGTGAAGGCAAAAGCGAAGGCAAAGCAAAAGCATAGCATAGCATAGCATAGCATAGCATAGCACAGCATAGCATAGCATAGCATAGCATAGCGCAGCATAGCGCAGCATAGCGCAGCATGGCATAGCGCAGCATAGCATAGCATAGCATAGCATAGCCTAGCCTAGCCTAGCCCAGTATAGCATTGCGCAGCATAGCATAGCATAGCATAGCAGAGCAGAGCAGAGCTGAGCAGAGCATAGCATAGCGCAGCACAGCATCCACAGCACCGCTCCTACTAATGTTGCTTTCCTAGAGGCTCCAATTCCTAGGTAGGGTCGCACTGGGATAATTATGTTTATGTCATTGTCTGGTCCCCTAAGGAAACTCGGGGCACCCTGGAGGCAGGCAGGGGTGCTTCCTGGGCTGGGTCCTCCGCTGCACCCCGGGCGGTGTGTGGCTGGCGAGCGCCCGCCACAAAGCTCCTGCCTGTGCGCGCGCGCGCCGTCCCTGGAAGCGGGGGGGGGGGCCGGCGAGCACCGACTGTCAGTATTACGGGGCCACATGCGAACCCTACCCCTCTTCGTCCTCCTCCCCCTCCTCCTCCTCCTCCTCCTCCTCCTCCTCCTCCTCCTCCTCCTCCTCCTCCTCCTCCTCCTCCTCCTCCCCTCCAACTTATGGTGGTGGTGGTGGTGGAAAACAGGCCCATCAAAGAGGTCCCCAAAAGATCTCCAGTACGCTTCTGAGAGCCTCTCGAGAGGCGCCCCGTGATCGAGAAGTGACGTACGCTCCCAAGAGTAGAAGGCCACATGCGAGCCTTACCCCAACCCTCCACGAGTTCTGAGGGGGAGGGGGGGGTCACTTCGCTCGGGAGCTCCCGAGCGAAGGGAGCCCCACCCTTCCCCCCAGAAATCGTGGGGTGTAGGGGTAGGGGTAGGGTTTGTGGCCCCCTAAGTATGCTCGGGCGAGGCCGACTACGGTCAAGTCGGGCATGTCCTCCTGCATGCGGATGTTGGACGAAGAATTCAAAAAAGTCAAACCAAAGCCAAGAAAACAAAAACAAGAATGGAAGAGGAATCGCCCCCAGACTATTGTCTGACTGTTTTTGAATATTCCTCCTGTGGGGGGGCAGGCCCGACTTAAGACTACAGACAGCCCAACGAACTGCTCCAGCTGGAACTCAGACTGCCAGATGTTCTAAAATCTCTTGTCCTTCCTTGGGCCGACATGGATAATGACAGGGCCAGCCTCCGCCACGCCGCCGCCAGATACGCAAGCCCTCGTCCTACAACTATGTTTCTCGTGGCCTGGCGTCGCTCCTGAGAACGGTTGATATTCCGAACGCGTCGGAGGTCTGCTGCGCCGCGGAGACACGTTGCTTTGAACGCCGGCAGCGACAAGCAACGTCCCCGACAGGCGTCCCAAAGGGGGCCTAAGCTCTGGCCTGGCGCGGCGGTGAACATCTCGAGCACACCGAAACATCCCGAGCCGTAGAGCTGTATCGGCTGCCAAAGAATTTGCCCTCCCAACGAAGACCACCGTCTCGATGTCTGTTTTTGTTCCTCGTTCGGGTACGGGTCGTTACCAAAATGCGGGGGGGGGGCCAGATAACGGTAACGCTTCGACGGAATGGGCACGCGAGAACCGCAGCATACCTGCAAGCAGCACGACATGCCTTCGGGCACTTGCATGTGGGGGGTCCAGGCAAGACCCCCCCCACGTACGATCGTCATCGTTACCTGGGGGGGAGCGGGTAAAGATCGTTAGACGCAAGAAGATAAAAAACATATGATCTCAAGGGAAGGACTACTCGGGGAGTCCCTGTTGAGGCCAGCTGGGACTACCTGGGGGAACTGTTTGTGCGCAACCGGAGGCCTCATTCAAGGGAGGGGGACGAGGGAGCGAGGCGAGGCGACCACCGACAACGCTCCGAGCGCGCGGGGAGCGCCTCCAACCGTAGTCCCTCAGAGAAAATGTCTGTCCATCTTTTTCTGGGCCAACGTGGTCGTCGCCTCCCCCCATGGCGACGATTGCCTGGGCTGCCGCTACCGCGTTGCAGCTCCGTTTGTCTGGGCTGCCGCTGACTCTTTCTTGCCATGCGTCGGGGGAAACGCTTGAACAGATAATTTGTTGGAAGCCCGCGCGGATTTTCTGATCGGCGCTGGACACCTTTCCCTAGCGCGCGGAACGCGCCCAGCGCGGCGCCGGAGGCGCCGCGGGGGGGGGCCCAGGCGCCGACCCAAGAAACTCGCGCGAAATTCACAAAGTTGATGTACGTGCCCTCGTTTTTCCACGGGAGGACGAAAGGAAGAGGAAGCCAAGCACAAAGGCAGAAGAAGCCGGAGGGAGGGCGAGCGCCAGCGCGAGGGACCAGGAAGCCGAGAAAGGCGAAGGGGCGGGGGGGCGTCGCGGCGGGCGTCCTGCTGGCAGAAGAACTCGCCCGGCTCGCCATCCTGGAACCACCAGTTCCTCCCATAAGCGGCTTGCGCCGAGTCCTCTGCTCCTCCTCCTCCTCCTCCTCCTCCTCCTCCTCCTCCTCCTCCTCCTCCTCGTCCTCCTCCTCCTCCTCTTCCTCCTCCTCCTCCTCCTCCTCGTCCTCCTCGTCCTCCTCCTCCTCGTCCTCCTCCTCCTCTTCCTCCTCCTCCTCCTCTTCCTCCTCCTCCGCCTCCTCCTGCTCATCCTCCTCCTCCTCCTCCTCCTCCCTCCTCCTCCTCCTCCTCCGCCTCCTCCTCCTCCCCTCCTCCCCTCCTCCTCCTCCCCTCCTCCTCCTCCTCCTCCTCCTCCTCGTCCTTCTCCTCATCCTCCTCGTCCTCCTCCTCCTCCTTCCTCCTCCTCCTCCTCCTCCTCGTCCTCCTCTCCTCCTCTTCCTCCTCCCTCGTCCTCCTCGTCCTCCTCCTCCTCGTCCTCCTCCTCCTCTTCCTCCTCCTCCTCTTCCTCCTCCTCCGCCTCCTCCTCCTCCTCCTCCTCCTCCCCTCCTCCTCCTCCTCCTCCTCCTCCTCCTCCTCCTCCTCCTCCTCCTCCGCCTCCTCCTCCTCCTCCTCCTCCTCCTCCTCCGCGTCCTTCCTCCTCATCCTCCTCGTCCCTCCTCCTCCTCCTCCTCCTCCTCCTCCTCCCCCATTTTTTCTCCCAGTCCTCCCTCCTCCTCCTCCTCCCCCCCTCCTCCTCCTCCTCCTCCTCCTCCTCCTCCTCCTCGTCCTCCTCTCCTCCTCCTCTTCCTCCTCCTCCTCTCCTCCTCCTCCTCCTCTTCCTCCTTTTCCTCCTCCTCCTCCTCCTCCTCCTCCTCCTCCTCCTCTTCCTCCTCCTCCTCCCAGCATTCGGCCCATTGATCAAAGACTTGTTGATCGACACCTGTACCAATGATTTTGATGTTGTAATAGTGGCCCCGAGTTACGCCCAGTAGGGAATGCCGCATTTGCCATGGCTGAAGTAAGTACCCGTCAAGCTACACAACGGATATAAAACGATGCGTGCATGAGCACGCCAACCGGCCGGCCAAAAAGAGGTGCGGGCGCGCGACCACGCGAAATGTCCCGACAGCCGAAATAGAAGTGCAAAAGCAACGTCGGTAAAGGCGGTGCCAACTATCCATGTTGGATGTCGGCGCAAAGTGAAGAAGGCGCACGGGGGGAGCGTAGCTGAATCTAAATGACTCCCCCCGCGGCCGGCCAGGCGCGGGGTCTCCGCGCACGGGCGGGCGTCAGAATTTCGCTGACGCCCCCAATCTGCGGCGGGACACACCAGGCCGAGTTTGGCATGTCCCGTGGGCTGAAGTCGGACTTCACCCATTCCCCCGAAGCAATTCGGCCCCCGCGGGGCAAACCCCAAAAACTTTACTGCGCACGCGGAAGGGAGGGGGGCACCGCCGACACAGCCCTGTAGAACAAGCCAAAACGGACCGGCGCGCCCCACATAGGGAGGGGCGCCCTGACGCACGCCGCCCAGCGATCGGCCCACAACGCTACCTCAGCCTGCCGCCACGCCGTGGCCCGCGCCAGAACGCTCGGAGAACAGCTCCTGTCCCAGCCCTGCCAGTAGCGCGAGCCCCATCCTGACCCCCCGACGGCCAGCGGCTCAGTGAGTCGCGGCGCCGCGGAGGCCGCGGATCCTCTACCTCCTCCGCAGCCCCCAAGTGGATGCCCATGTATTTGCACCCTCCCGCCGGGGGGCCCGGGGCAGAACTCGATGACGCTGCAGCCGACATCGCTGGCCTGGGATGGAGCTCCCAGAGCGCCGGCCCCGCCTGTAGGCAACGCGCGGCAGCCTGCCGATTCTGCGCCCCCTGACTTTCACGACGCCTCCTTCCTTCATCTTTGGTGCCTCCTTGCCCTTCGCCTCCAGCGGACGCGCGCGCCGTCGGCGGGCTGCCCCCGGGCTGGGTCGACGACGGGCGCTTCCCGCCCTGCTTGCCGCGAACGCCGAGGCCCCCTTCGCTGCCGACACATTCGGCAGATGACTGGCCCCCGTCCTCAGCCGCCGCAACGTTAGCATCGCCCCGCGGCCCCCAATGTTCCCCCAGCTTCTGTTCCATCTCCGTCTTCAGGTCCGCGAGCGCCGGCGACAATTCACGGCGACGGCTTCCGGCGAGCCACTGCCCCCAGCCTATCGAAGGCCCGTCTGCCTCGCAATCCCCAGGGCAGTCGCAACTTCAATCGAACGGCTCGAGAAGGGAGCAGCGCCGCTGCTGAAGAGCCAGCCAAGTACCGTTGCACGGCCACCAGACCCCTGGATGGGCGACCGCGCCCGGGCCCGCGGCGGGAGTGCCCGCAGACGCCCGGAACTTGATCGGGCGCATCCCCAGCTTCCGCGCCTGCTTCTGTCGGAAGGCGTTCTGGTCGTCTGGCGCCATGTCCTCTGAAGACGTCGGGCGCCATGCGAGGGCGGCCGCGAAGTTGCGCCAGTGCGCAGTCCTGCCCTGCAGGGCCTGATTGCGACGGAACGCCGCTGCGGAGGCTGCTGGGCCCACTTGCCCCACGATTGCCCGGCTTGGCAGAAATGCCCTCGTAGCCTTCGGCACGGGGCCGGGAACATGGCCCCCGGACTCCCCGTCGATTCTTCCCCCGACCACCTCGGTAAGTCCAATCTCACGTCACTGACGCGTCAGAGTCGCAAGGCTGGGCGCCTGGATATCTTGGAAGAAGATCACAAGCGCCCGGCACTGAAAACAATGGAACATGTCCTAGCAAATTCTGCTTGCCCCAAAACAGAAGACATATCCATCGCCCGACGGCGGGGGCAGAAGCAACTTCGCCACGAAGCCCGCCGGCGCGAGGGCCTCGTCGCCATCGCAGCGGATTCAATGGAGAGACTGACGCGGTTGAATCCAATCCATACAGCCGGACCCCGCCCAGGGGTCAATCTTCGCGCAATGGAACCGCCGGTCATGGACCAGGGCCCACGAGACTGTCGGGGCCACCGCGCCAGCACGGGCGACTTGGAAGATCTGATGCACGTCGCTCCAGCATGGACGGACCTCCGCGGCGGGCATGCGATTCGGGCGAATTTGAAATGCAGCCGCGCCACAGATTCGAGAACGTTCGGGGCCCCAGGTGCCACGACAGACGGGCCCTCGGGCACCGCAACAGGCGGGTCCTCGGGCGCCGCCAAGAGCGGACCTCGAGCACCGCCACAGGCGGGACCTCGGGTACCTCGGAAGGCGGGTCGCCAGCCCAGCGGGATTCAGACCGTCAGGGGTCCGAGGCGAGACCCCTCAGAACCTCCTCGCAATTTTCGCCTGGCTTCTCGTCAGGTCGTCAGCGCCCACCCGCTCCTCCTCCTGCCGAGCTGGATCGCGCCTGTTCCGCTATAAGATGCTCACACCACTTGTCAAAGAGCTCCATTTCATGCTCAATGACATCGATGCGCCCGTCGTGCACATTGGCATCCGCCCAATAAGTATACGCCCGCTGGTGAGGAGCACACAGATCAATGTCCAGCACCGTCTTCGTCTTGCTGAACTGGCACTCGATAGTCGGGGAGATATAGGCATAGGCGCCCTGCGCCACCCCCACCTCGCTGCACGTCGCACAGTGACAGCCCATGCGAGGGCATAGGTAGATCTGCCACACGCGCGACTGCGAACAAGACGCCAGCAACTTCTTGTTCTTCGTCTCGACGGCATGAAGGGACAGGACGGCCATGGGTTTAGGCTGGCGCAGCGGAGCTCTTACACGCGGGCCCCTCGGCCGCTGCGGGGGGGGACCATCAGTGCACTTGCAGGGCAACTCGTCGTCGACATCTTGGCGAAAGCCCCGCGTGGCCTCAGCAGCTCCGCGAAATGCACTCGCGCGCTGCACCCTGTCTGCGGAAAGCCATCGTCTCCGCGTGGATCTGCGCGTCTCTGGGCGCCCCGCGCAGCCGGCTACCTCTTCTTGCCCTGGGCCGTTTCTGCAGAACGCTGGTTCCCGCAGGGGCGCCAGCGGCAAGCGCTGGGCGCCTCCTTCTCTTCTCGGGAGCCACCTGCATGCCCCCTCACTGCACGCCTGCACGCCGTGAATCCTCTCGCGCGCGGCGCGCCCAGCGCGCGTCGGCTGCCGCGCCAGCCGGCGCCAGCACTTCCCGCGGCAAGCCGCGAGCAGGTCCTCCGCGGGGTCGACGTGCCACGGCTCGCGGCAGGGCGCCGACTCGAGCTTTGCACCCCGATGCGGAAATCCAGTCCAGGCCGCGCTCTCCCTGGCAGCTGAATTCGCGCAGGAGCTTGACCAACCTGGTCCTACCAGAGGAGACCTCAGCGATGCGAGCCTCCTGATGTTCGCGGCAATCGCCCTCTAGCATCTCGCAGACCTCGCCGGTTCTCCTTGAGCGCGCGGTCACAGACCCCACGACCCTGTGCTTCCCCGTTGACCTTCCACGGAGGCATGTGGACTGCCCCCCGAACGCACGCTTGTTCGGGCTTGACTTCTTCGGGCCTGGGTCGACGATCACCACGCAATCCAGCTCGAAGTGGTCGCCCGTGGAGCCCTTCGGACGCAGCCTCCACGGCCCCCTCGCGCTGGTCTGCTATTGCGAGGCGAAGTGAAGAAGGAGGGCAACGCGAACGATGGTCGACGGGCGACTGCAGCAATGCTGCCGCCGGCCGCCCGTGCCTGAATCCACCGACACGAAGCATCGGTCCGCAGCCGTCTGCGAGGAGGGAGCCATCAGCTGGATGTCACACGCGACGTCCAGGCCGTCTGCGACCTCTCCCACGCCGCCGAGCAGGTGGCGTGGCACCCTGGGATGGCCCCGGTGTCTTCACAAGCGCACACACCCTCAGCAACGTCTCCCGAGCTTTTGACGGCCTTGCTCCTGCCGCCATCAACTTCGCGCGCGATGATGAACACGCCCGCGCCGAGCGTGGCGCCAAGCCCATTGGCGTCGACAGCGCGAGAGAACAACCGCCAGCCCGCTTGCTGTTTGCCCTCGACGAAGCCGTTCGGCAGGCCAAAGGAGGAATGAGAAGGGTCTCGTACTCGCGCTCATTCCCCATCTGC